CCCCCCCCCCCCCCCCCCCCCCCGTTGCAGCAACTGGACCAGCCAGAGGAGGATCAGCTGTCCAGTGCTCTGCAGAGTGTGGAGCTGGAACTGGGCAAACTGGGAGAGATCCCCTGGCTCTACCACATACTGCAGCCCAATGATGAGGAGGTGAGCAGCCTCAGCAAACACTCGCACACACACGTATGAAGACATGTATAACATTACCACCATTGTGTTTTACTCCTGCGCATCATCACTGAAAGCATATATACGCATATACTGTATGTCTTCGGTGTAACATGGCTCCACGTAACGGGAGATCTGAGTAGCTAAATGAAAGGCTATAGGTTGACTGTGCTTATGTACCAGGACCACTCTCTGGGTTACGGCAAGAGGAACAGTCGCAGCAGCATGTTTCGCATAGTGCCCAAGTTCAAGAAGGAGAAGGCCGCCAAGAAGACAAGCCCTCAGTCAGGTAGGGCTGTGCACACTTTTCCCTCACTAGCGAACAGACTGGACAGACAGACTGCTTAAAGGACGGGGAGTCAGACAGAGTCAGCCTCATCTGCCACGGGGATCTCTGTTTGCCTCATTTCACGATTGCCACTGCCTTTGATTTGAAAGGATGGTGCAGCATTAAATCAGAATCCGCTGAGTGACAAAGTGTGAGCTCAAATAGTTCTAAGATTTGATTTGTCAACCGATGTCTGAGGTTTAGGTTTAAAGTGTAGAATGGATGTTTTTCTGTGTCCCTCCGCTTAGAAGCTGCAGAAATCTTTTCACACTTTAATGAAATACTTCCACTACTGGAAAGCAGTTATCTAGAAGTGCTGCCATCCCGTGCTAATTCATTAGTACTTTATGGCTGCTGTGTTTAAACTCACACACTTCGTGTCAAAGATGCACGCACACTCAACAAACTTGGTTCTTCCAACGATCGTCATGGCATGGTTACCATGCCCGGCACTATCGTTACAGTGCACGCATAAAGGTCTTGCCTCATTATAATCCACCGGTAGAAACAGGAAGAATGGGTGTGTGATTGAGGTGTTGTATCCCACAGTCTGACCTCCAACCATCAACTCGCACCACCTCCCCTCCATTCATGCTCTCATCTCGCCGTCTACATGGCTTCAGAAGGCGCAAAGTCAGGAGAAGAACAAGGCTGCAACAAGGGAAAGCCTGCAGGGATCCAATATTACATTTGAACATGAAACAGCCAGGAATCAACTCTTTTTTGTTGCACATTAAAGTGAATATCTGATTTCTAGATGACCAAATCTAACTCGATGTTGCTGCGCACTAAGTGGGTAGATATTCATATACATAATAGGACCAATAAGAATACGTCAACAGACAGACGGGGGTAGAGTGGAAGCCCTTTCCTCTCATCGTAGGCTGGTTCTTGATTAGTTGGGCTGTGTTTCCTGCAGACCGCACAGGCTTCCGCCTCACTTTACTTCCTACTTCTCCCTTTACTTTTCTGTGTGTTCTGATATTGGTCGATGATATGCATGCCCCCCCCCCCCCTCCAGTCTTCCTGGAACGACATCGGCCACCGCCTTGTTCTGACCAACCTTTGGCCTTTGTCAAACTCCTCCGCCAGCTGCCGCCACTGCTCTCCCTCTTCCCTTCCTCTCTGGTGCTCTCCCTCCATCTTTATTCCATCTTTCCCGTCAGTGATTCACCACAAATTTGTGCCCATGTGTGAGGGTCGTGTGTGCAATGACATATTACTGAGAGCACACGAATGGGACAAGCGGTTGAGTGAAGTGTGAGAGTGAGAGCTTTTGGTGTGTGTGTGTGTGTGTGTGTGTGTGTG